TTATTATGCTGTACCCACATTGATCACATTATGGTATGCGTTTCGCATAGAGTACGACCTTCCGAACGCATCATAATACAGATCTGTTATCATTTCGCCCTCGCCCACCCCTCATCACCACCCACTCGTTTTCTGTTTCTTCTGTTTCCCACGACAAGACGGACAGCACGACCGTAATATACCTATTATAATAATATCACATACGGTGAGCAAAAATGCCGAGGCCGTAGATAAATCATTACTGCGCGAAACACGCGAGCGGCTCTACAGTAATATTATAATCACGACGATAATAATAATATTATTATGAATTTATAACCGTGTGTACGCATATACGAATACGATATTATATTATACGACAAAAAAAAAAAACAACAAATTGTCGTACGTTCTTGCCGCGTACCGGTTCAAAAGCGACGGCGTTTTGCCGCCGCGGTGCCGCAGATTGCAGAATTTAAGTATATATTATATTATTATTATTATGATTATTAAATCGTGCGTGAGTGTACAGCGTGCACTCTGCGCAGGTATGTACCTATACCGGGAGCAAAACCGACCGCTATATCTTAAGACCGCGGTAACCGAGTACAGTGGGAGGGGGCTACGACAACACTTAGCATATATGCCTAGTACCCACCCGGTTACAATATATTAGGTATATTTATAATTTTATATATAATACATGGCTTATTTCCACTTAAAATTATGGAACACGCTCGATACCGCCTTGAGAGGTACCCGCAAACTGAGATGAAACAGAAGGTTTTCAGTATCCGTCGTCATAATATTATATTATAGTCATCGCCGTATCCCACGATTCGAGTACCCTAGGGATTTGATCTAGGTGTAATCATTTAAAATCAAATTAAAAATGAAAATGTAAAAGTTAAATGAAAGTCGTAAGGCACAGGTTAGGTACGCGTATTATTAAACGCCATGGGGTCTGTAAGTGTGTTATTCCGTGTAGGTTCGGAGGAAGGTAAATGTTATATAAGTGAGGTAATTATTTTTCATTTAACGAGTACATTTTTTTCTTTATTATATTATTCTGCGAGCTCGAGATGTAAGCTCGGTCATGAGACATTTTGCAGGGCAGCATGAAATTACAATTGCTCTCGGCCGGTCAAAAATAAAAAAATCTAAATTTCCAACTCTATATTACGCGAATTGCTTCTACTTATCTTTATTTATTTATCTACGTCCAGTCTGGTTCTGGTATTTTTTTTTGATTTAGGACCAAAGTTTATCACGTATGAATAAGATATCATTTTTTTTTAAACTGTAATCGGCCTAAACGGACATAATATAGCAAACGTATTAACATAGATACATTTTTGGGCAGGGTATAACTTTTTCTTCTAATGGATTTTTGCGATGTTTACTGTTATAAAAACACAAATTCATTATACCCACAACCATAATATTATGGTATACCCAAATACATATCTATGATTCGTCAATTTTCCTCGCAGAGAAAAAATATCTAGTTGCGTGCTACTTTGATTTAAGGCCTTGATACGTATATTTTTTTATGATCGATGCGCAAACGTTAATATAGTATTTCATACAGTTAATGCGGACCGACGGCACACTGGAAAAATATCATATACCGAGGCGAACTAGAGTAATACTCGCAATACGTAACATCAATCTAATATAACGTCGTACGTATACCGCAGCAGCGTATGGTACGAGTTCCTCAAGCGACGACGGTCCCCTGAACGACGCAAAATATATTAAAATATTCTCCACGAACGCGATTCCAATTCCACTCACACCCACGCCCACACGCTGTCTGCCGAGTCATTATAAATATCATTCGTATATAATGCGAACACGTCGACGGCGACAGTGCACGAGCCGGAGATCTATCCTCTGTTGCACCGGCTATATGCTACCGTGGGAATGACTGTATTGGACACGGATGAATACCGTTAGGGCTAGGAGTACAACAGTCGTATAATAAAATATGACGCGTCCTGCGCACAATATGATTTACATGTTATATTGTTCGACGGATGATATTGAATTTTTCGGTCCGAAAACATATTGTGAGCTGCGACAAAGAGCCGCACGCTCAGAGTCCGACACTGCTCCTGCGACGATGACTGTATACGACGATAGATCCGCCAAACAGCATTTTTTTCTCCATAAAGACGCTGGTCAAAAAATCGCACTTCGAAATAAGCACCCGTAGTACGATTGTTACGAACAATTTAATGTCGACAAAAAATTAAATGACGACCGATTTGTACTATTATTAGGTTTAAAAAATATATTTTTGCACCCTCGTGGAGTTTTGACTTTTGATTATCCGTTAATCACTTGTCACTGCTATAAAGTACTATGCCATAATGTTATGGTTATGAAATCGGCTTAGGATATCGGCAAACTTGGTGGTTGAACGAATATTCTTGCGTATGCTTAATCAAAAAAACGTGTATGGAACTTGTAAAAACGTTGTTAAAACACCGTACCGAGTATTTGCCCGGAAATTAGGTGACATTTATATTTGTTAAAATGCAAATCTATTGTAGTCATATTTAACAACTTTACAAACTCACGTATATGGCATAGTGTTTTCAGTAAGTATTACTATATTTTATTCATAAAAAATTACTTGTTAAAACCAAAGTGATATAATTATTTGTAAATATAGACTAATAGACTTTTTAACAGTAAATACTTTTAAAAGAATTGTCCAAGCAAGTGTTTATAGTATTTCAGTAATATTAACACATTTGAAAAACATTAAAATATTCATTACCGGTGCGGCTGCGTAGGTATACCTAAGTCGCGACTAACACGATTATACAAAGAATATTTAAATTTCATTTCTAAGAAGACATCTGACGAATTTTTTACGTACGCACGTTTTGTATGAATTACAAAGCATTTATCCAAACGCTGCCGCTGTATTGTATGTTAGTGTGATTTTGAGTAATAAAATATTATACAGGTATTATAGTTATTATTGACCAATCTATGTTTTATTTTTCTAACATTACCGCTGTCACAAACGTATTTCGGCAAATATGTTAATTATTCATTCAGTTTTAAAATCAACACCAAATGAAGATGTCCATCGAGTTTTTATTAGTTTAAACAGCATATAAATACACTGTGATGGTCCGTTGTCAATATGTATTAGGTACTTACTTGTAAGGATAAAATATATATTTTTTTTATTAGAAATAAGCCTCGGTTGCGGAGGCCATTGGCTGACGACATGGTTTACATTGTTTAGGGAGAATTGTTGTATACACTATTTACATTATTTACATACACATATTACACATATTACAACATAATAGATTATAGATTACTAATAAGGTTGGTCTTGATCAAAAAGGACATCATGCGGCTAATGTTGTCTGGGTGGAGGGCTTCCGATATAATATTTGATACCCGATAAAATATTGTTCGTTCCCATTGATGTTAATTTATCAAACTCTAGGGTATAATTCTAGTCAATGTAGAATAAAAGAGTTTGAAAAATACTATGTATAATACTTTGACAGGTTTCATCTATATGTAAAAAAAAATGTCTGATTTCAAGTGGATACCAGCTACCTAATTACTAATCAGTAATTAAAATCATTGCAGAGTTAGGTAGGTTTTTATTTTTCACATAATTATTTAACTAATTAATTTTGTCTTCGACGGTATGTTGTATCAAATAATCACATAATGATTGTGTAATCATATAACTGAGAAAAATAAATATTACAGTTATACCTACTTTAAACCAGGGTTTCTGATTGTCAGTGAAAGATAATAAATTAAAAAAAATTCGTAAAAATTTGTATTGAATAAAAAACGTTTGTGAATTAAATCAATTTGTTTAAATTTTTAAATAAACAAAATATCTATGTATTAAAATAAAAAAAGAGACCATTTTGAATCATCGATCTTGAATTTTCCTGATAAAAGTCATCTGTATTTTTCAAAAATCGTTTTTTTAATGCCATCATATATAAATTATTGATATGGCGTATATATGGAATAACGAAAAGTGTATGATCTTTCAGTATAGACCCAACATCGGTCAAAAGACAGACTATAATAATTTAAAATCGTTCAACCATAATTATTATATTGTGGTGGTATAGGTGGTGAAAGTGGTGATAGAGGGGATAGTGGTGGAGGAGGGTGGCAGAGTATCAGAATATGAATCAATTTAATCGAAACATGAAAAAAAAATGGATTTAAATTAATATACAAAAGAGATTGAGTGTCGGGCACTACAATTTTTGATCAACAATAATTAATATAATAAAACCACGGAATGGCCGCCACTTAAATAAAACTAGAAATCGAATAGTTGAGTTTCGTACACTCACATCGTAATATAGTCGTTAATAACATTTTTAATACAAAACATGAACAGTAAATGAGTTCCACTCAAAAATCATTTTCCAAATACCGACTGAGATGATTTATAGCTTTTAAATTTAATATATCAGCTACACTATAAACACGCCGCCTCTACATAACGACGAAAACGCCCGCTCACTGATTTCCCCTCGATGACACCTCGCTCAGTATATTTATCCAAAATGTCTTTACAGAATTTTATTAGTATTATACACACTATAATTACTTTATATACACTATCCACATATCTACATAGCCATACTGCATATTTTATACGCTGTCGTATAATGCTCAATTAACTTGATGACTATTATTAATATTTTATATAGGTTATACATATAGAAGCATTAAGTTTAGGGCTTAATTTGCTGTGTGTTTGGAGGAAAATATTTTAAAAACCACCGTCCGTCCCTTTTTATAATATATTTTTAAAATATTTTATAGGTACCTAAAAGGTTCAAATTTAAGATTTACTGTTTAGAACTTAAGATATTTAAATTTTTTTAGTAAAGTATTTTACTGTAAAAACGATTCATAACGTATTATGTCCTAGTGTTGTGTGTGTGTGTGTGTGTGTGTGTGTGTGTGTGTGTGTGTGTGTGTGTGTGTGTGTGTGAAAGTACCTGAAGAGCCCACAATAGGACGTGGTGGGGTCGAACGATTGATCGAGAGGTACGACCCTGTCGAGGAACTTTGGCGTGAGAGTCAGTGACGAAACGGCGGCCAAAAAGCTGTGGTCGCCGAGTTCGCCGGGCTCAACGCCGCATCGTCCGCCACCGCCGCCGATGGTACCGTTGCGAGTCGGTTCGCCGCCAGCACTTCCTCCACTGCCTCCGCCCGCACCAGTCGAAACCACTCCGTTTCCCTGGGACACCAACCGCGTCGAGTCCACCATAAACTTGGGCCTCTGGCACATTTCCTGGAACAAAACATTGATAATAGCTATTAATGGTTATATATGCGGTACACGGACATCGTCTTGTACTTATGACCTGGAAAGCTCGAGACTAGATTAAAACACTTTAAAATAAGTATTTCGTATTTAAAATTTAAACATGCTCTTAATAAATTAATTTAATTATTGGCTGTCAATAATGTCATAGGGAAACATTTAATAAATCATAATACGAGTGGCATAGCAATAAATATTATGATTCTTTAATTTTTTCTAGTTAAATATTGATAAAAGTGAAAAAAACCAATAACATTTGTTTTTGGTTTCTATTTAGAAAAATTATTTTGAAGTTTTCTTTTACTAAGTTCACTGTCACATAAATTTATTTTTGAAAAAACTTTAAAATTCAAAATGCTAATTATTATAGTTATACGTATGGTGTAATAGTTTAAGTTTGTATCTAGTTTATTAAAGGGCGATAATTAAAATAAAAATGTCTACTGCATACTACGGCTTTAATTTTTTGTTTTCTGTGTTAAAGTAATTTATGGTTTTTGAATAGTTTATTTACGATTTCAAACAGCTGTAATTTTTTTTACACACATAGGCATTTATTAATGCATTATAATTGTTGGTAATTTAATCAAACAATAACGGTAACTGTAACGCTATTTTATATATAATATGTACATATAGGCTCGAAAAACTATTTAAACAATAAACTTTCTATTATTTCCGCATCCTACACACGGTTTGGCAGCTGCTTATGAAACAAACAAAATGAACAATATTTCATAATAATTGAATACAATTTCGTCGTTTTATTCTATGAATATTTTCATTTCGAGTTCCTTATATATTGGCATCTATTAAATTAAAAATAACCCTAATTTCCCTGCATTAACCAAATTTGATTTCACTTACATACATGAAATGTAATAAAAGAAAAGAAAATACATTTTTTAAATTGATTTTGGACCAATCCAGTACATCGAAGTAGATATTGTAGATCATTCAACAATAGCACCAACGATTATGTCACAAAATGCTAGCACCCCAAATTCAAAATTTTGAAGTCAAACAGTACTAAAAAATGAGTAACTAATCGGTAATAATTGTTTCAAATTTGTTTCCACAAAATCAGCATTTTCAACCTAAATGTTAACCCTCGAATTTGTGTTTGATTTTTTTGGGTACTTGGATGACGAATTTGGGATGCAGTTGTGCTGATGGACCTTGTCATCAATCATAAATTCTAATAGATGTTGAGATTTAACGAATATGGAATAATCATTAGCACGATTTGTTATCCTCTGATCCATTTCCACTGTTGTAGAATTGTAGTTAAAAATATGAGTTTTCTATATTTTTATGACAGAAGAAATGTTTAGCGACAGTCACAGGCTATAACTGCTGTTATTCAGTTATAATCGCACCGATATTTGTGTCTAGGTAATCTATACATAATAAGTTGTACATGACTTGAATATATAGTGGTCAATTGTAGAATGGGATTTTTTTAATGTGATGTTAAAACAAAAAAAAAGCAGTCTGTACGGAAAAAAAGAGAATAAAATAATATTTAAAATTAGGTTGAATTGATACATAAAAAAGTCATAATTTCGAGTTAAAATCACGTGACAAAATGTCATGCGGTGTCTAGTACTCTAGTATATCATATCGTGGTGCTCGGTGCTGTAATCACTTGGAACTAATTATGTGGTTCCATAAAAAGTTATCTTTCAAATATCAACACGCACTAATGACCACCGCAAATACACACACACACGCATAAGAAATACACGGTACCTATCTATATATCATAGCAGATAATAACACTCGTCAACGTTTACGGTCGACCAGCACAAATATGATACTTATATATATATACATGTATAGGTATGTAATGAGTCCACTATGATTTATGGTCATAATATAAAAAATCTTGAGCTCAAAAAGTAAAAAGTAATATTGATAGCACCTTAATTAAAAATATATACCTTCTAATGAGAGGATTAAGAACATCTGTAAAATGCATTTTAATTACTATCGAGATGACCAATATCATTTTACACTAAATCGAAACAACAACAATTACTGGAAAGTATCTGCAGCTGTTATGCCATACCGATTGTAGATTTCTTGCAGATCACCTATTTAGTGTATGGTTTTTAAAAAGTTTGTTGTGATTAATGTGCGACTACAATTATCCCGACCTACTACAGAATTGCATTTAATCTACTTTTAATAACAATAATAACAGTAAATTAATATTTAAAAAATAAATACACATAAGTCTTTGGTAAATTTCAGTAATTTATTGTTTATATCGTAGTTTATCGTGTAAAGTTTTAATCATTAAATGCAATTATATCTTTAAGTAAAAGTGTATAACATAGTAAAAAAATTGAAAAATAACGACCAATCGAATACGGCCGAATAAGAAAGAAGTATAAAAAAGATTATATTTATTCGTATATCTATTATGTTTATTAATTGTATAACCACATATCTACACTTATTAGTTATTTATACATTTTTATTATTTTATACGGATTACTAATCGAAGAAATCATAAACTACAAGAATGATTAATACACAAGATGAGAAATAAGAATTTTAATATCGTTTGATACCTTAAAAAAATATATGAAACTAGACAAATTATTAATAACTAAAACATAATATTTATTGCACACTTGAGTATACATGCGTCAATTAAGCACAGATAAAGATTATACTACAAAACCAAGAGACTTTGAATATTTATTTCATTTTTAAATAACAGCTTAATAAAATCTTGTTTATGTGCAAAAAAAAAACAATAGTATCACTAATAATGTATTATTGTCTACCCAAAACCCAACAACTTTAAATATTTTAAGTTTTTTAGAAGTATTTGTTACGAAAGCATTTCAATACCTATACATCTGTAATTTTTTTTGTGTGTAACTCTTATTAAGTACAACAAAAAAAAAATTGATGTTTTGTGTGATCCAAACGATATAGTCAATTACATACATACAATGATGAATGGTGTTTAATTCAATACATAATTAATACTTCTCTCACGTACAAAAAAAAAATCACTAGATCTGTTATTAAAGAATGATCATAATTTTAATCCACTTTACAACCACGTATACGTAATGTATTATATCTTAATGTGTGTACACAATACTAAATTAATGCATTTAGAAGCATTTTGAGCCTTAAATAATTGGCACATGTACAAGTTAAGTACTCGTGAAGTCATGAAACCCAAAGATAATAATATGTATTATAATACGTTATCTATTAGTCACTACTAATTGCTAATAGTACAATTTACTTACCTACTTAAATGATATAAACTAATAACTATAATGCACGAAATTACTCTGGAAATCGTAGAAATGTTTTAAGACATACGGCAGAAGTTATATGAAATGTTTTTAGAAAATCTGAGAATTTTAAAATAATAATTATACCACTCGTACAATTAGCATAATATTATATTGCATTTGCTGAAGTTATCTTGCACAGTGATGGGGAAAATTCAATACTTATTCATATTAAATAAATCAGATTGCAATTAAATGTATGTGGTTCGCATCTTTCGCTAGAACCAGTGGTTAAAATAAAAGGTATTCATAATGTAGATCACTATGGTTATTTAAAAATAAAAACAATAATTCAAGACAATCATTGAATCATGGCCACTAGTATGCTAATGTAGAAAGTAACAATATAATTGTTAGGTACATTAGTCTTTTAGTTATTAAAAAAATAGAATCTATACGTCTTCACCACTTTTTAAATCAACTAGTATCCATAAAACCGTAATATTACTGGTATATATATATATATGTGTGTGGCAGAAATAGTGAAATATCGTAATTTAAGTGCTTTGTGCTTTATGTGCAAACAGTTTTTAAAAATGTAGAATGAACCTTATAAATTAAATAGAAATATATTATTAGTTAGAAAATATAAATGTTTGCAACATATGACGTTCAAAGAATAGGTAAATTTGTATACGTTAAAATATTGTAGTATTGCTCTTGCTATACCCTACTAACAAAAAACAAACTGTAGGTCCGGTATATTTAAGTGCATCACGCCAAATAAAAGATTAGCGCGCTACTTTCAACCACCGCTTATAGAACTATTCAAAATGATTCAATGGTGAACGCTCCGATAAAACTACTCAAAATTAAAAAAGAAATTATTTCATCATGACACAAGCTAACACATTTCTTTTTAATCCACATACAACGTCAATACACTTTCAGCTTAATAGTATACAAAATATTATCGTGTTCAACAGCGACGATAAAAATTACAATCGGCACATTAACACATTAACCTAACCTTAACGCGAGGTTAACATAATATTTCAATGTGTACATAATACATAAAACGTCTCAGCGTAATAAATATATATGTATAATTTATACATTTATAATTTAATGGTAATGTTTTGATTTCAAGTTCACAACGAAGCAACGCTCACGAATATTATATACATATAATAATATAATATATATAAACACCATAATATTATTATAAACGTGAGCTCGGCGATCTTTAACTCAAATGATTTCTTGAGTTTCAGAAAATATTGCAAAGAAATTCTTTTGAACAATACAAGCTAACTATTTATTAGATAATATCGATCAGTCTGTAAAAAAAAAAAAATACATTTGCGAATAAAAATCATTATTTAGACCGCCGGTATTTATATCCGATTATAGTACAACTGCAGTAAAGACCGCTAAAAATCACACGGAGGTGGACAAATTTTAAAAAGATATATTATTTTTTAAATATTTGATGTATTAAATTGTAATTCATTTTATACAAAACGTTTCTTACTAATAATTATTTACAATTTAATAACTTTTATAGAACTATCTAGTTACTACCTATTGTAGATAGGTAATAGTAAGAATTATATACTTCACTCAGTAGTTTAGAAAATTTAACTCAATTTTGAAATGTTACAGACTTGAGTAGGTACATTAATTTGAATTGTCGATCTTGAATTTAATTGGACATGAGAACACGGCAAATAGCATACGATTTATTCACAATAATCATGTCACTTTTTGAATCAAAATTGTTTATCTGTATAATGTCAAGTCGCAGTAGTCCACAAACGTTTTGCAAAACAGGGTAAAACGATCGGATCGTGTTGTGCTAATTTGGGCAACAGACGGTCGATGTGTAGAAATAAAACACTGCGGCCAGTATTCGGGTTCTCCGGTCATAATTCGCGGTCACCGCTGGCTACCACGAAAACTCAGTTTGCGTACTCTCTGCTGAACATTACGGATATAATAATTAAAATCGGCCAAATGGCGTGGTCATGAAAATACATACATCTTCAACGTTTCATCTGCACGACGTCCTCCGAATGATTTACGACTTTTCGCAGCGTCCTGCGACGGTCTTACAAATTCAGCGCAAGCGGTGCGTTTCTCACTCACCCTCTCTATATTAGCCAGGTTAGATTATCATAATTTTGTCTATTTTCCTCCACCCACATCTCGTACTGGCTAGATTTCCATATGATCGTATGCACACGAAATCTTCGATTAAACGTCGATAATCAAGACGTCTTGCTGTATCCCCTTTCATACTCTCACCGCCAGTCGACTAGGCGACGTGCGGGATGTCGAATAACAATAATAAATTATCGTCAAACCGTCACGTCAAAACAATATTTGAACGAGACCCCCTAGACGTGTGACTAACAGTAGTGCCAACAATTTATAATGTAATATGTTTTTATATTATGTCGATTTGGCATATCACATATTCAAATATTTTAATAACAATATATAATATTATATCGACCCAGGCGAAGCGATAATATTATATTAATATATCTTTACGCTGTGTAGACCATCCGCCACCGCTGCTGCAGTTTACCTTCCGCCGCTGAACTGATCGGTTGGTTCTTGGATGCACAAATGATAATTCAAAATATAATATATCGCTGGTGTATACTCCGTAGGTCGTATACTATATAATATTAATTTTATGTACGGGTTATATAAATACATAATATAATTCGAAAGCAATTAATGAATAAAAACGAGGCTTCGTTAATCCTGTCAGCCCTTTTCAATGAATGAATGATAATGAAGTTCGAATATCGTCTGAATGGGTGGATGTATTGGATATAATATTTCTGCTAGAAATATAATAGAATATGCTCACCATCTGCAGGTTTGTTTGAGAAACACTTTATTGACTTCATCAGTGAATTGATTTTAATAAATATTTTGTATGGATTTTGAGAAGAAAATGTAATTTTATTTAATTTGTAATCATTGAACCTTTTACTTCCTCTATCTCACCTTCTTTATAAAATATACATGGTTAGACACTCAAAGTCTCAATAAACCTTAAAATAGTAGGAACATCAGAGAGTATAATATTACATATTATTATATGCCATATACCTATGCGTGAAACTACAAGAGACGTATAACAATAAGATATTGGCCTCCAAATTGCTACCAAAATCCATCCCCAAAGTTTCCAATTCACTACCAAAATCACCCTCGAAGTGTAAGTATACAAGTTGTAAACAGACACAGAAAACAAACCACACATATCATTGTAAAATCTATAATTACGTCACTCATGAAAAAATATCCACTAGAGTTTATTTTAAAATATTTACTTTTAATGAAAAAATGGTTTCCATTTCAATAAATTGTAATATTTTGATAAAAAGGTCTAAAATCGGAAATCGTATATCTATTTCACTGCCACTAACACGCTTTAATAATACAATCTAATTTTCCTGTTGTAATATTATTTATAATAAAGATGCTTTAATAGTAATGAATTATAAAGTATGGGTACCGTATTTATCTCGTCTCCGTAACGTCTAAAGGGCGCCGAGCACCCGTTAAAACAAAATCACACACCGTGCTTAAAAAAAAAAAATAATAATAAAAACAAATGAATTACGGTGTATTGACCTATTATAAAAACGTACGTAAGATGTAAAGAAAAAAATTGAACGATATTCGTTTTTCAACGGTTTTGCTGTATTAATTAGTGCAAAGAAGTGTACAACATAAGTGAGAAAACATAATAACTGCAGTTATATTACCCATTAAATTTAATAATTACACGTAAACACGTCTTGTACTAAGTGTGTATGTACGTGTTTGTGAATATGTTTAGAAAAAAAATGTATCTTTTAATGCGTAGAAGAAGTAAATTATATAATTACATCATAATAAACAAATAATTAGCAATAATTGTGAAAACGCGATGTTCACACTGCACTATAACTACAGCAGTGTTTGAAAATGACGATGACGACCACGTGTGATATATTTTAGTCGATATGCAAAATAAAGTAAACGTTTTGATTAGTACGAAAACTAATCATCAAACATACATATCTCCGAAATCGTTCCTTGGTGGTCTCTGCTTCGAATGGATACCACACACGGTATGCTATGTTTTTTTATGCTGGCATGAATGATGTAATGAAAACTGTTCAGATGTGTAAGCGCCAAACGGGGCTGTAAACTGCAGAGATTGTAAATACTTGTTTCATATGGCTTTGCGTATGAGGTGATGATATGAGATCCTTCATGGTCTTTTATATAATAATATTATTTTATTTTTAGTCAGGTCTTTGTTTTTTGAAAAGTTAAATATTTTTGTCTTGTATTAATTTTTATATTTTTTACATAATATTATTGCGTACCAATGGTATATTATCATAAGGTTATATTTCATAGTTTAATTATTATGATATAAAACACGTTCTAGCACTTAAATGTTCTCATTGTTTCTACGATCGCCAATGCGGTTGAACAACACGCGCGACATATGCGTGCACAGACACATGCACGAGCAACGGATTTGGCAACAATCTCTAAGCGATTGAAATCGGGCTGTATAATATAATAGGTATTCCATTATCGGAGTTTGGGAATCATAGAAATTTATTGCTTAATCGTATTGGAAGAATTAAATGAAACACATTTTAAAGGTTTTTCGAATTTTAAAGTTGAGGTGTATCTGACGATTTTCTACAGATATCCCGTGTGACTCGTAGACACATTTTCAAAAATGTAATAATTTAAAACCGTCATACAGACGGATCAAAATATTAGACAACGGGTATTATCAAGTCATAAATACAATAGCACTTCATCATAATAAATCACAATAAGGTGCATTCAAAATATTTTCGTGTTATGGGTTTTGAATTCGTTTTGTGAATACACAATAACGTTTTAAATGTGTATCCAAAAAAATAACACTACGGGTAAATATTTTAATTAGTGCACAATTTACCGATTCCATAATAGTGCCATTTTGTGAAGTGCCGAACCATGAATTATTATGATGTGCATAACTTATAAAAATAACATTATAATAATTATATGCTCACGTGCGGTCGCATCCATACGATGGGTTGAACTGCAGGCCTCTTGTTCCTGTACAGGCACTTGGGACCGGCCGCAAAGTCGGGATCCTCGAACAGGGCGCCTCGTTCACGGCACGAACGGCGCACCGCGTGATAGTTGGGCTGCTGCCTTGGCCTCTCCACAGTCCAATAACCCCTGAAACACAACCACGTTGTATTATTACTGGATTAGTCTATCGAGTCCGATCGGAGTGATTGGTCGTTGCAATAATATGTATTATAGGGCTTAATGCATTTCTATATTATATTTTGTGCCTACGCGTTATATAGGAAATTAATAGGATTTTTGATTTCCTCCATACACCCGAGAAAACGTAAAATATACTTGTTGATTTTCATTGCATTTGCAGGGCTCAAAGATTTAAAATGTAAAAATATGGTCCTGGTTAAAATGTATCTACAAAGTGTTATAAATCATTTTAATATGTGTTATAACTTTATAAGATACCCATGTATAGGTATATCATTATATATAAGCTGAAATATTGAAATCGTGATTATCGAAAACTGCAAATCACCAAAAAGTTAAATAGACATTAAACGGATGCGATTGGCCATATGATGTAGGTATAATAGTATGCCGATGTACCTATTAATTGTATTGTCTAGTAAATGTTCGTGTTGTGTAGCTTCTACAAATCATATACACATATTTTTTTCTGTCACTCTTATCAACATCCCCTGTATTACCTACTGTTTTAATATATATACAATGTTATTTTTGTTATACCTATGTAAAAAAGCCGATTGGCGTAAATTTATAAAATAAAATAAAATATACGAAGAATGATATATCCCTATTGCGTTCAACAAAGCATTCTAAAATTTAGAAAATCAGTAAAATACGACATTAAAGATTTGAAAATCACTACCTACCCAACCTTAAGTAATTGTTTAAGAAAAGTCTAGACTAAGTATGATAAAATAGTTATATTGCATATCTACACGTATCACAATATTTATAATAATTCTGCGCGGTCATGCATTTAGCGAAAATAATACGAGCTGTACGACGACAATAAACGGAAAGGAATGACGATTAAAAGTTACTGGTTACTAGGTAGGTACCTATACTAACCCAGGTCCTATATATGATAGGAACTTATGAATTATGATGATTTATGATATATTATTTTAATAACGGTAAAACGTATTTAACACGAAACGATGGGTACCTTACGGTATCTAGGTATACGGAGCCATATGCCTACCTGTACGCTATGGTATTATTTTCTACGTTTTCATTATATCCGGTCTTAGGAAAAGCGTAGGTAATTTGTATAATCGTTTTAATTATCTAACCTACAAGTGTGACGTAAATAATATGTTATATATTTAAATATTATTAATTATTATTTAACGTATACACATGCATAATATTATTATGTACTCGTACAATATATTATATTATTGCTACCTACGCTTGTTATTAATATCTCAAGGCGACGAAGCATCATTATTATTATGGTTGCGCTTGCAAAAAATTCAAAAAAAAAATGTTAGGTAGGTCGAGTGCATTGCGAGCACATCGAAATTAAAACAATACTCACTGTAATAGTATAATAATATAATAACAGTACCTATCTCTATTGTCGTTTTATGCGTACGTGTTCTTATTATTACAATAACGTATGTCGACAGGCAAAATTTGCGTAAATAGTCAGGAAATGCTTACATACTAAGAATATTAAGAATATTAAAATGTTATAAGTTTAATACAAAAACTCAGAAGCTCGATCAAAATCTGCAGATAGTAATAATGTGTCTGGTATCTAAAATGTCGTCGCTTTTGTATACGATACTTTTTATTTTTGCTTCTCTCGTTTTGACGCTTAATATGTCTTTCCCAAGTTTTATGCATAACATAGCCACATTGGTACCTAACCTATATAACTGCCTGCACTATGTTTGGCCAACACAAAGGTAAAAAAAAAACGATAATATGGTGATCAATCACACATAAGTTTCTGAGTAATATGAAAATTATAACATTTAAACAAAAATTAAAAAAGATGCAATGATATGAAGTGGGCTACAGCAGTGATATCAGGCTAACTGCAGATTTTTTTTCAATATTGCATCCATAAGTTCCATATCAGTAGATCTTTCTGAAAATCCATCAAAAAACCAATAAAAAAATTCATAAATGGCCAACGCTAGGACCCCAGCTCTAGCTCCACACCTACGACCGATGGGACATGAGAATAAAAGTGGAAAAGTATTTTGATCGGACAAACTTTTTGAGAACGAATCTCTACATTTATATAATAATATATAATGCGTAATATGCAATTTATATACCTACTTCAGCAATAAAAACGGATTATATAATATACAACGCTGTACATTGTCAGTTTTTATTATTTTATGATCACCTCATCACCTCTTATATTGTGGTTAATCCATTTATTCTTTTATATTTTCACTATCTATTGGTTCCTCTGAAATTCTTTGGGAAACTGTGCATCATAACAACGATTTTTTTCAACTATCGTTTGTTAAATCGTATGCACATATGATACAGTGCAGTACAGCTTTTATTACGGCCGGTATATTTACCTTTATTTTTGAAACTTTATAGGATTGTTTTTATCTGTTAATTTATCTATGAAATATTTACTATACATTTTATACATATCAATCATCGTGTTTATCGTAAGCCAATGTCTAGGTACTGAGGGCAACGTTACTCTATATTGTAAATAATAATACACATCGTAATGTATTTTTAATATTTGAATGACGTATAAATGTATAATAACTTTTAATTTAACTGCCAATTTGTAAAAAAATTTGTAACGCACACAAATATCTTTAGTTGGTATCTATAATTTAACCAATGGCTGAGCAATAATTAATAAATATTACTTGAAGGATAAAAAAATTAGTTTCATCATTATAGAATAAACGTGCTCCATCAGTGAAACCATTACCTACTTGCAATACTGCTGGTCATTATGCCGACCTATCATATTATCATATTATCATTATAAGTATAACATTTTTACAATAAAAAGTATCATTTCAGCTTCTCGGATATAGGTACCTTATTGCTTGACTATTGCTCTCGTCTGTTATAATATTATTATTGAAAATTTTAAACAATACAATAGTATGAAGATGTCGCAATGTATGCAAAATGAGTACAGTTACACATTGAACATACAACAAAATAGGTTCCCGTAAGCACATTGTAACGTCAATAGAATGCACCTAATAACATTGCACAAATATACAGTACAAGACAAACAATTTATAAACTGGTTGTATTTGGTTTATGTGCATAAGTACCTACCTATAAAAATGTGACTCAGTGCAAATAAATTATGTACGAATAAAACTAATTTATAAGTTAGATTACCTATTTATATTTTATACGTTCGTAAAAACGAAGTGTTGTTATATTATAGTAACTATGTAAGAGGCAGGTAAGCACTAAGCATAGTAGTAGGAATGGAGTCGTACGCTTGTATATACATAAATAATTAAAATTTCTTAAAATGTTTATAATTGCCATTATAAAACAAAAGTTAAATTTAACGTACGTAATATTATTTATTTATTAAATATTGTCACTGGTAAATGTCCAATAATGGAATGAAATAACAGTAAATTATTCATATACAATATAACATTTTAAAATAAGAAGCATTTATCATCTAAATACTAAAAATTAAAATCTGGTAGTTCTATTTCTTTTATACTAGGTACTATTAATCAGGTGCTATTATTATTTAATTAATCTGAATCTATAAATGTTTAGGTTTAAATCGATATAATACAATTTTTTATAACTTATAACTAATTTAAATTAATTCATAATTATTAAAAGTCTCATTAATAAATAATGAACAAATTTAAAATGTAAGATATATTTTTGTTCATGAAACATGTAGTGCAGGCAAATCAAGTTTAAATTACTTACAATAATTTTTCGTACACAAGGCATACAATATAATTTTGTCTATATTATGCATTTTCGTTACAATTTACAATCTAGATCAGTGATGCCCAACCAACCTTTTTTCTTTGGCGGGCCACTTAAGTAAACAATAATCTTCAAGCGGGTCACAAAGTTCAAAAGTACAAAAATAATCTTATATATTGGACTTGTTTTCTTATCTTTTATTGTCTATTGACAAGATTATGAATTGAGGTACATATCGTAGGTACACGTTAGTTCGATCAGTTCGTTATTTTAAGTACACGGGTGATATCAATATTTAATTGTAAAGTTTCCGTATGAAAATGTCAGACAGAACAAAACGCAAATATAATGATGATTGCCGAATTGTTAATGAAAAAATGGTCTATAAATTACTTTTTCATTGAAATTAATGGAAAAGCCGTTTGTATTGTGTGTCGTGAAACGGTTTCAGTTTTTAAAGAATTTAATATCGAACGATATTATGAATCAAAACATCAAGATACATTTGCCCATTTAAAAGGTAAGCAATTATTTTCGATATAATTTAGTTATAAAAACTTAATAAAGTACCTATATATTATTTTATTAGGAGAATTACATGTTACTAAGTTAGAAATATTAAACAAAATATCCACACCCAAAGGCCAAAATGTTTCAAATTTATTTCAACAATAAAATTCGATTAAAACAAATGTTGTACAAGCGAGCTATAAAGTAGCGAATTTAATAGCTAGTGAAACTTAACGTCTCAGTGATGGTGATTTTATTAAAAAATGTATTTAACTGTGATTGAAGAAATAATACCTGAAAAATTAGAACTTTTTAATGATATAAGTTTATCACGAATCACGATTAGCAGACGTGTTGAAAATATAGGAAATAACATAGTTACACAATTACAGAACAAAGCACGAGAATTCAAATATTTTTCGGTGGCACTGGATGAGAGTACCGATATTACCGATACTGCTCAACTTCTTATAATTATACGTGGCATTGATATTAATTTCAATGTAAAAGAGGAGTTGGCTTCTATGGAAAGTATACATGATCGAACAACAGGAGCTGATATATTTGAAAAAGTAGATATTTGTCTTCAAAATCTTAGGCTTGATGGGGGAAATTTAAGTTGCATATCAACAGACGGTGCTCTAAATATGAGAGGAAAAAATATTGGTTTTATTGGTGGAGTAAATAAACTTTGAAAA